CAAAGGCAGCTATGCAGGATTCTCATGCTGGTGTCTTAGGAACGGGTCCAGTATGAAGTTCAGCTGTAGGTCCAGTTATACCCTGAGGCTGAGGGTATTTTCAAACCAGTGCTGCCTGGGTTCCAGGAGGGTGCCCTGGGCAGGAGGTTAGGCGTCCCGGCAGGCAGGAAGCAATGCTACCTGCTCCTTTTGGCGCTAGCAAACGGACTGGCCACAGCAGTGCTGGTTTGCTTCATTATCCCGGGCTGGCTAGAGCTCAGCTGACCCTGCTAGCAGACTGCTCTGGTCATGGGGGACATAAAGAAAAATAGTAACTACAGTATTCATTCGTATGTAGACAGATTAATGTAAATAAATTTTAGAGTAATAAAGCAATAAATACCCTTCAGGCAATGCAAGTGGCTTATGATCAAGGATACTTTGCTAACCAGATTTGATTGTTTGGAAGGAAAGGAGATTTTGATCCTAATGAGATTAAATTTAGAGTGGGCAGTGTGCTTCAAAGCAGAGATTAAGCCCTTGGATTTTATCATAGACTGCAAATTTTCACGACCTATTCTTCCTCCAGCTAAAGCCAGAGGCAAAATTCCTGTTGAAGCCAAAGCAGGCAAAGGAATGTGTGCTCCAGTTGGTAGATATATATAACTGGAAAGTTACTCTTACTTAAAGTATAAACCGTTCAGTAGAAGTTTCCATATATTTGGTGTCTGTATTTGGGTAGCAGTTGATCACAAGCTGTTCAAACACATTCTGCTTCCGTTTCTCAATAAAACCTTTTACATTTAGTGCCCCAAGTGCAAATGAAAGCCAGTCAGTAAGATTTTTAGATTGATTTTATTAGGCTGGAGATCTAAGCCTCCAGTTTACAGGAGGTTTGTTAAAGATACAAGTTGATCTTCTTTGACAATGTGCCCAGACCTTCTATGGCACTTGCATGGAACAGAGAAAATTTCTAAATTTTGTGGCTTTGGTGCTTTCTGGAGCTGACTTACCCTTCAGCCTAATGAAAAGAAGGAAAGTGCTGAGAAAACTAGAATCTCTGCATTTAAAAGCAGGGACTTTGGTGGAGCTTGGTAGTGATATTAAGAATTGCCCCATTAGAAATATGACTTAAAATTAAAGCATAAAAAGTTGTTACCATTTTTCTTAGAACAGGGCAAAATTTGTATTGTATGAATTGCAAATAGAAGTAATTGAGAGCATTTTTGGGATAAACAACTGTTCTGATGAAACTGTTCTACTTCATATGTACAGAACTCATCCTGTTCTTCCTCCTCTCTTCCTACCTCAGAATTACTTCATAAGTTGTAGAGAACTATAGTCATTGGCTTTTGATGCAAGTGTTTCTTGGCTGGTTACTACATAGCTCTTCTTTATTGGCATTGATTTTAAAAGGCAAATTAAATAGTTTTAAAGTAATTATTTTATCTGAAGAATATTAGGATGGTCCTACTTTTGGATTTTTCTTGGTCCTTGCTGGTTCAATATTAATAGTTTCACAAGCAGTGATAAAGGTCAACTTCTGAGACCTGTTCTTCTTGCGCTTTGCTTGAGGATGTATTATAAAAGATTTTTGCTACCAGGTCACAGGTCTGGTGGTATGAAGACTTCTCTGCAGTTTATTGACCTTCAGTCCTGGACTGTATACTTGCTTTTCCTATATACTGCACTTGTCAGACAAGTGTACAGCTAGAAAGTGTCATGCTATCAAAAGGTGTATATACAAGGTGACTCCTGGTCAGAGAGGATCTAAATGCCTAAGATTTGTGTGAGGTGTAAATTTGAGGTGCCTTGGAATTGGAATCAGAGACCCTGGCCTGAGTATGGAGGCATTCTCTGCAGAGACTGGGGCCATGCCGGCACCTTGGGTTAAAAAATGGATGACCTGCAAGTTCAGCACGGAGCTGCTTTGTACAGACACAATCTTCATACCTCCCTGCTGAAGGAGCCTACAGGAACTAGTGAGCATGGAAATTTGTCTAACATGTCCTCTCTGTGTGTAATCCCCGTCTTGGAATCTCATCCTGGAGATGAGCGTTTGTAACATTTCCTTCAAGGATTACTAAGGGTATCCTGCCAATGTAAGAGGAAGTTGTGCACTTCTTTCACTTATAAAATATCCTACAAGTAAAGAATTCACCCAGAAAATGCAGGAGACAGATTTGGTGTCTTCCTTGGTCTTCTGGCAGTGAACTATTCCAGTGCTCGGGTGTATGTCCTAACCAATGCATGGCTGGAAGGTTGCAGCCCTTACTAGAAGTTACCATGGTACAAAAAGTCATTTAAATTTTTTTAGGACAGCAAATAATTAATAGAATTTGTAAATTTAGATTGCTCTGTGAACTCCACGGGGAAGGAAGAGTTTTGGACTGTGTTAACTACTATTTAATGTAAAGTTCAGAAACAGCTCTGGGAGTTGCACTAAGAACCTAAACCACTAGGCTTAGAATTTCCTACTCTTTTCTGACTGAAGGAATCTCAGGTTTTCTATGTGCAATGGTCTGTGTCGTCAGCAGTGAGGCTGCAAATCTGAGGTCCCCTGAGCCTTGTGAGTACTTCTCAGGGAAAAGCATATAGAGAATCACGGAATGGTTTGGGTTGGAAGGGACCTTTTAAAGATCATCTAGTCCAGCCCCCTTGCCATGATTTTCAGCAGTCTCACTAGAGAACAGAGCGGATCCCCTGATGGCCACGTTCTTCACTGATAGTCCTTATGCCTGCAGCGGTGTTCCCAGACGGAGTCTGCAGAAGTGATGGCAGCTGCAGCTCTGTTCACATTCTTTGTACTGCTTGGTCCAGCAACATAAAACTGAACCCTTGTACGGTGGCTTTACCTACCTTCTTACCCAAAACAGAACTTCAGATCATGTCTCCTACCCTCTACCATGTTGTTCTTCCTCCAAACTTACCTCCTACTCACAGCACAGTCCACATCCTTTCCACCCTGGCTCTGTATCTCACCAGGTCTTGATCCTTTTATCTGTATCTCACCAAAGTTTTCCAGATCAAAACTGTGCTCACAAGTGCTTGCTTCCACATAAACTTTGTATATTTGAAAAAGTATTTTCTGTACCCACTGCTTCCTACCTCAGTGTAATCAGGCTGCATGAAGGCTCCAAGTATGTGCCATCACCATTCCTGTGAAATGGAAATATGAGGATGTTTAGCTCTGCAGGTTTCAGTGACCCAGAGATCCTGACCTGCTTTTTCCTTGATGAATGAATGACTGAGTAAAGCTGCTTCCTTCTTTGTGATAGTACAAACAAAGTGGGAGGGTAAATGTGATTCTACTAACTGATGTGCAATTTATATTTGGAAGATCCAACTATCATCATACCTAGTATGAACAATGACTAAAACTTTGATACTGACTCATTCAAATTCAAATACTTGTCTAAATAATATCCTTGCTATCTGAGGATGATTTAGGATTTTTTCCTTTGCAAATTGGGATTTAAGGTAATGCAGACAGTTAGGAAGCATCCCATGCAACTTACTCAAGCTATACTACATAAGGTTCAGCATAAAAAGACTTATAGTACAGGATATTAAAACAGATAGCAGCAGTCCCAGTTTTCTTGCAATATATATTTCTATAAAAAGTTTATAAACTATATGAATTAAACTTTTGCACAAAGTTGATATCGCATATGACTTTATACAGCAATAGCTGAATACTCTTATCTATAAACACATAACAAAATTAAGGATAACAATTAATAGAAAAATACAAGGCATCTTTGCCATTCATGTTTAGTGTAATATATAGCCAGTCATAAGTTATTAAAAAATGCACAACAAAAGCCTGATGAATACAATCCTTTCTGTGCCACTCCGTAACTACTATGAATTTTACAATCAATAGTGGGGAAGGATGAAAAAAGGGAAACCCTAGACTGATAGGGAAAGTGCTGTTTTGTTTTCTGCTATGTATTTTACTGGCAAAAACCTTTATTTTCTAAAGAATACTTTAAGTCTGTTATTCACTCCAGGGATTTGAAATAACTCAGTGAAATATTGCATCATTTTAACCACACACATGTAGGTATAAAAGTATCACCACATTACTAGGTATGTAATCAAATTAAAGCCTTTTTTTAAAGAAAACTCTTCTTTCATCTTCAGAGAACCTCACACATCTTTAAAGATGTTTTTACTAGCATTAGAAAGTTGTTATTCTGTGAGCTACTGAATCCTGCTTACATGTCTGCCTACTTACTACTTTTCTAACCATGTAATCTGATATAAATCAGTTGGGTTTCAAGGTTTGAGATACCTTTGGATTTGAATTTGAATGCTTTCAGTTCCCAGTGTGTGGTCTAATTTAATCTCTTTGCCCAAGATTCCTGTCTCTTAACTGTCTGGCCAATAACAGCTTTGTAAAATCAAGATAATACAAGGCAGTAGACAGGAAAATATCCGGTTATCAGATATATTAGGAATATCACTGTTGACTTCAGTGGTATAGGAAACAGTAATATCAGCTTGTATATTAGGATCCATATTCTCAAAAAGAACTACTGTGTCTTAAACACCTTTCAAAATCTGTGCTAAAAGAACCAAACAACAGAGATCCCCAGAAATCTGGGGGTAGAAGTTAAATGCCTTTTGATGTAAACTTTGACAACCAGATAGCAGGATCGTTCACAATAGCAAAACCTCAACAAATAAAAACACTGTTTGGCTAGAATCTATCATACCTTTTCTTAAACTGCCTGGCAATAATGGATGTTGCACAGCTGAAGCACTGGAAGTACTTCACACTATCAATAGAACTCCTTTTCAGATACAGAATCGTAAGCTACAGAAGGCTTACAGAAGATAGGACCGTGTATTTAAAATGATATTATTTCTAACTTGTAAGAAGACATCTAGCAAGTGACAGCAAAAATGCCAGAGCTGTATTGTTTCCTCTGCTGATATCTGAGAGCCTTATGTGCACAATACGTAGAGCTTTAAAACTGGGGATACTATATACGTATTGAAAATAATAGCTGTTGGCCAAATTCTGCATTCCAGTATTAAGTGCAACTTCTAACAAGCTCACAAGAATCCTTGACTGACTACAGAAACAAAAAGTAGCTGCTCTTCTTTTCTTCCCTTGCATTATGATAGTATATAATAAGAATAACCCAGCTGTACTCTAGAGGGACCATTTCAGTTTCATGATTTTTAGTTTCGAAGTAGTAATATCCCACAGCAGATTTTTGCTTTATTGTTTAGAGTCCAAAAAATCTCTACAGATGCCTCTAATAATATCAGGAACCATCTGCTCCAATCCTGTGAACTCCCTAGTGAAGAAAGTATGAGATTCTCTTGGTTCAGAAGCCATGTCTTTCAGATCATCCAGAGGTGCCCAGGCAACACCGACAGAGAAGACAGTTATTCCTACAATGTAATAGGACAGTAAGGGGGAAAAAAAAAGTAAGTTAAGACCATTTTGCTTATGGATACAAGAAAAACAACCATTTCCACATCCATGAATTAATCTAGATTGGGAAACCATGTTTCAATACCTGCAGTCTGTCAAGGGTAATTAGATTTTGCCATTAAATATCAGGCATTAGAAGATTTGTCTCAGTAAGAATCCCAAAGGAAATACGGGGTATCTTAAGAGCTAGTGTCTTAGTAGTTTTTACAGTGACACACATGAACGCAGCAGTTATGATGTCAGTCTTGAAACACAAGTAACATTGTGTAAAATTATTTTAAAAATAAATTTGCATCTTTCATGTATGCTTAGTGCTTTCAAGCATCAGCAGCCCAGTAAGTTTTTTGATGAAAACTGCTTATTTCCTTCCTAGATGATGATGCAGTGCAAGAGTACTGCCGCATTGGATGGCATCATTGGTTGGAGCTTCACTACATGGCTCTTTATTTTTAATCTACTAATTTCTCTCCTGTTCAGGAAAATAAGACTGGGTGTACTGTTTTTTTAACTAAGCTTCCATGAGTGAGTCCACTTTTACCTGGCTCCACAGTGCTGATTTTTCATCCTACTGGAAATAGTTCCTTAGAACTCACATTTTCCTGAGTTTAAAACAGGTATGGACGCTTTGGATACGTGATTCACTCACTGGGGATGTATTTGCAAACTTTCTTTAAAACCCTAACATTTACAATACAGCATAAGTGGCAAGAATTAACTTCCATTGCCTTCAAAGATATGTCACTTACCTGCTTTTTGTGCAGCAGCAGAAGGTCCTCTGACATCATCGTAAGACTGACCATCAGTCAAAACAACAAGGAAATTTTTGTTAGGTCCATCTTTCACTGGCCCAAACACATTTCTGGTTGTGAAAGAAATAGCATCACCAGTAGCAGTGCCCCCGCTCATGTAGCGAATATTCCGGATAGCCGAGAGGACCTTTTCTTTTGTGGTGTAGTCTGTGAAGCTGAACTCGGTACGCTGATCATAGGTGAACTGCACAGCTGCAATCTTGGAACCAATGTCAGAGATCTCAAAAGCCTTTGCAACGTTGCTGATGAATTCAAGCACAAGGCGGAAGTTGCTGTCTCCAATGCTGCTGGAACCATCTATCAAGAAACCGATGTTGACGGAGTTGTAGCATGTCTTGCTGCATAACATCTGCTCATGTGAACACAACTTTTGGACGAGAGGTTTCACATATTTGGTAGTACCAAACCAGGTGGGCATTTGGTAAGAGAAGAAGCCATTATTTCGACAGACAGCCTGTTTGGAAACAGAAAGTGAACAGGTGAATATGGACACAGTGGCTCTGTGGATAATAATCAGAGACTATGTGATCTTCTCGCAAAGGCAGACTGGAAATAGAGCCTGATGATGGGAGTTTGGGGTGCACTTTTTGCTTGTTATTAAAGAAATTGAGGACAAACGTCTGCAGTTAAAGTCAGTGACAACTATAATATAGCTTATTTTATGCAATAATAGTCGACTCTACCCCTTGACCTCTGGAAATTTCAAATAATTTAACTTCATTCATAAGAACTCTAACAACTGGAAATTACGTTTTTTGAAAGTTAACTAAATCATGCTACTGAATATCCAAAGGACTGAAAGTTCTGTATTTTTGCTTATCCATGGAAAATTAGTCTCTGGGTTTTCCCCTTGAACTTGGTAAACCCTTTAATTTTTAATCTATAATGTCATAAACACAGACATACAATTGGGTAGAAATATAGCTCCATGTCATTCAAACTAATTTCCCCCCCCTCTGACTTCCATAGGATGCATGTAATGTACAAGGTAATTGAGAAAGGGGTTAAATTTAAAATCAGCTCTGCAAGGTGAAAACTAATTTGGCTAAGATCAAAATGCAGAAGGGGAGGACAGGCCTCGGTCACCTGAGGTCATGTCTTTTTGTGCCTATGACTACGTAGGAGTTGGACCTGCCTGCAATACCACTGGGACCAGCAGCAAGCTATCTTGTGCCTCAAAGCAGCAGAGCTGTAGTGCTTCGTTCTGTTCATGCCCTGAGCTATGAAATTTCTGCTGAAATGAGACATCTAAAGCCTCCCTGTGGAAAATGAGAGGTTTTTTTCACTGGAGAGTAAGTAAAGACCTAGTGATTAGAAAGCTCAGGTGAGAGTAGGTAATCTGTGAATTCTTCCTCTAACTCATACACAGCAAGATCCAAAACATTTGATCCAAGATGAACATCTTGCATGTGAACTTGTTAGGATGTGAGGTTTTTTTCCCATCTTTTCTGTTCTGTTTGTAATGAAAGTAAGTAAATAATCATCCATAGAGCAGGTACTGAAAGGTATCCCTCCCTGTCTGCTGTTTCAGGATAGGAGCTATCACAGCTGTGTTTCATTGCCTATGACACATTTAACCATACCTAGGAGAGGGGATGCTCCTACTCTGAGAATCTTTATGTAATTACAAAGTCCAGGAGCTACAACTTGGCCAAGACTCTGAACTGGGAGGACAATGACAGCATTTTGGTACCCATTGTGTAGCCTCTTTAGCAAGAAAAACAAACAAACAAATAGTGCTGCTTTAAATTTCCTGTGTGATTCTTTTAAATCACTTATTAGCAGGGGTAATTTCATTGGCTTTTTGGAGATAGATATATATATATATATATAAAATAAGTTCATTAGGATTTTTGCATGAAGTAAATTCTTTGGAATCATACCCATGACTGAGAAATGTATAATGATATTCTTCACTCTTACTTTGTCAATAAAAGCGATGTCTTGTACCATTCCCAGCTCCTCTGTTGCGGGTTTTGCTACAGATACAATGAATACGTTGACTCCAAATTCTCTGGCCACTATGCCAGCTTCTTCTATATCATCTGAGGGCCAGCCATCTAGGAACACTACAATGATCTTGGGAATGCCTCTGCGTGCTCCATTTTCCAAAGAGAAGAATTTCTGAGCTGTGTGCTTCAAAGCTTTCCCTAGTTTCAAACACAAAAAGAATATCAAGGACAAATGTGATTACATTTTGGTACCTGTTCCCTGTATGAGACTGCTCAATATCTGTTTTGATTACAGGCCTCACTCAGTGTAAAAGCAAAATAGTGTCTCAGGAAATCTGATAATAATTAAGCTTGAACAACCTGTAAGTTAAAAAACAAACAAAAAAACCTCCAAAAAACCAAAACCAAACCATCCCCACAAAAAAAAAAAAAGCACCACAGATAAAGCTGAGAAAGAAATCACTGACATTGTTTCATACACAGGTCTAGTTTTGGACTAGGGAGTAGATATATTAGTGCCTGCCAAATGGAACAGAAAGAAGAAAGTTGAGGAGCTACCTAAATTTAGCCTGTGAAATGCAATGTATTTGGAATGCTCAGTTTCCTTATTTGGTAAACATCACTTCACAATCACTTACCGTTTATTCCGAGTTTATTTTAAGTATTTAATTAGCCATTCAACAGGAAAGAAATGCTGAGCCTTTTAGATATGAATTTATCTCAAGATATTACTGTGTTACTAGTGAAAAGTTAATCACTGTTTAAAACGCAGGAAGCAATATTTGCGCTTCTACTCCAATTAAATGTATGCCAAGCGATTTAACTTCTGGAAATGAAATGTAAGGTGTGGTGATATTCTAGTGGAAAAATCTTGAACCTGACTAAAATGAGCATGGCATTTAAAACACTTTCTTACCTAACTGAATTATAGGAATTTAAGTAGATACACACACACATATATATATATATATCTTTATATATATATATATATCTACACACACCTATATATAAAAATATGTAAAGAAGTAATTTCTATTTGCATGGAAGTATGAACTCACCTGTATTAGAATTGCCTCCTCTGAACCCTAGTTCCTTTATGGCAAACAAAACTTCTTTTGCAGCAGTGAAGTTTTTCAGATAGAATTCAATTTTTGGATGTTCACTGTGGAAAAATAAAACAGAGTAATAAAGCATGTAGTTCACATTTCGTAGCGCTATGGCGTTAGCAAGTTAAAATACAATTTGAATAATTTTGTTGTTGGTCATATACTCTCTTTTTAATATTTTTAATTACTAAATTAGAAGTATGCTCCTTGCTTGATGATTCTCACAATCCTTAGCAAGAGGAATTATTTACCTGGTTGGGTAAATTAAGAACAGGCTGATTCTTAGGCTTATTGAGCAGCTGAAAACATTAGGTTGAAAATACATATAGAAAAAAGAATGGAACATACCAGATGTTAAACATGTATTTGTGTAATTGAAAATTGGCAGCTTTTCTACTATTTGTATGAGAAATAACTTCTTTATAAATAATTCTTCTGAAATGCAGTTTGAGTTATTTAATTTGAAAAGCTTTAAAGTACATTAGCTACTAACTCTATTTAAGAAATGAAAAATTTTAGCTAGGCTAAGTGTCCAGATTTCACTTTTGATTTACAGTAGGAAACAAATAGAAATGAAGTTATTTTTGTTGTGTGAAGAGTAGAAAGATAAACACCTGCAGGTTACAGAGCCGCTGCTATGAATAAATGGCCTGATCCTGCATCGGAATCACTAGAATGAACCCCTGTGCCAGGCAGAGTTGGTCTGCTGTGCTGAATCTCATGGCAGAATAACTCTTAAAAAGGTACATTTTGAGATACAAAGATTATCGCTTGTAAGATTAATTTCTAATGAAGAAGAGCTGAATGTTTAAGGTGCTAAACTGATTTCTCTGTTTCTCCACAAGTTGTTCCTCACCTTATAATATTTAAACCCAGGACAGCAACAGTGGGGTTCATTTCCCCTAGCTTTTGATGTCTACAGTGGACAGATACTGGATTTTTCAGGATGGAATTCATCACATCCTAAAAGAGGCATCCAAAGCAGTTCAGATGGTTTGTGCCATGGATGTGGTGTAGTGACTCTAAAACAAGCCTAGGTCATTACATCAGCTGCAGACATCTACTCAGCAGTTGTCTAAAGGCAGGGGTGAACAGACTGTAATGATGAAAGATGTGATAGAGAAACCCTGCGTTAATCTAACAGATGTTTCATCTTCTTGGAAGAGAGTTAAAGGCATCTTTGTGCTTCCTTTATTCCAGGAGCAATAGCCAAAGTGGTCAAGCCTTGGAAAACTGCTGAGCACTAGCAAACTGAGCTGTGGCTCCAAAAAAACTTCCACCAAAGTGCTGGATGTTGCTGTGGCTTTCAGACTGTTTCCCAGCCTGCAAACATAGGTAGTAGTATGAATAGTCTTAAAATAAAAAAGTTGCCGATTACAATTTGAAAATATTGGCTGTAGTAACCCATAGGTCAGTAACAGCAGGTTTTGTTTTGTACATGTAGCCATTTGGGACAATTCTCTCTGCAATTTTTTTTAAAAAGCGATGTCCTTTGCAAAGCACTTTCCGCTGTTTTACTAAGATGAGCTACAAAACTGTAGCTCTGCTACAGTTTGGGCTGCACAAACTCCAGCTGCTCTCTCAATACAAATATCAAGTACCACAGAGGCAGAAGATTATAATATTTTTCACGTCTTCTCACATGGACATCTCCATGTGGCACAGAGCAAACAATGCTGCAGCTGGAAAGCGTTGGCTTTGCCTTGCTATTCATTTGCCATTATTGAGTGAATACTGCTCTGCAAAACAGGGAGTGATATGTTAATTGATTTATCTTTTTAATCACTTAGTTATATTTTCTATAGATTTGTTCTTACCTGGCTTGTACAACTCCAACATGAGGCCCTTCTGTTCCAATTCCCAACATCACAGCTACTTTTCCAACAAAGTTTTTCTGCAAATTAAATCTACGTTGGCCGATGTTGTAACTTCCATCAATGAGAAACGCAATATCAGCTTTACAGTCTGTAAACATCCACAATAATTAGAATTAATTAACACCAAGTAAACATATTGATTTTGCTTTGCCAAAGTTAAATTTGTGGGTTCCTACCTTTGTTTCCAGACTTTTTGTCAAGTGGCTTCTTAGGTCTTTTACCTTCAGTGAAGGAAACAGCATGGATCATTTAAGAACAACAAAATGAATGGCCAGAATTGAACCAGAAAAAGCTCAGACACCAAGAAGTACATTGCAATCTATCTGCAGTAAGAACTGTTGGTCAGGTTGGTTTAATTATTAAACTTGCTTTGCTCCTTAGAGAATATTCTTTTTCAAATGAAAGAGTTTAACATTCCTTTCTACACCTGCCTAGCTGATTACTCAAAGGTAGAAAGCTGGGTGGATTGCTGTAGCTCACCATCCCAAGTGTTGCCATTTCTCAGTTAGCAATCTGTTGTACAGTGCACAGTTCTAATGTTTTGGAAGCAAACCATGACTTAAACTGTAAAGCAAATAGTCTATTCACAACCAAAATCCAAGTCCAGTATTTACTTACCACTAACTTTCATAAAAACTTATCTAGCCTTTTACTGGCAGCATTTTCTGTGAAGAAATTCCCATAACATCTAAATTTCTGCTACGTAAGTCCTGACAGCACTCATCTGAGTAGTTCTGTAAGAAGGAATACATTATCTCTGTCTTCTCTGTCACTTAATAGGAATGAATATTCCAAAAGCTCATGAACTTCCTTGATGTTATCTGTTTTGCTGTTCCAAATTCATTCAAGTTTGTTTGCTTGTTTGTTTTTTAACTTACATGGACACTACTGAAATCAGAAAAATGTGCCCAACTACAAATAATTCCTCTTTTTGATGACTGAAGATATACTCAAAGAGAGTTATTGTATATGTTTTCTTATTTAAAAATAAACGAATCCTATGAAATATGGCACTTTAGCCATTTTGTGCGTTAGCAGTGCAGCTCATCTTACCACAGGAGACCGAGACCTCATACCTGTAGAAGGACGTGCTGTTGATACCGATTGTCCAACTGCTTCAAGCGCTGTGTTCTTGGTACCTGTTCAAATATTGGAAAGATAAATTTACTGTATTTTAGTGTATTTAGATGAAATTACAAGTGCTTGAAGAACACTATATTTCCAATAACCTTTCTTCATCATCTGCCATTAGCTACTCTGGGAGTAGGACACAGGCCTAGACAGATCTTTGTTGTAATCCAGTATTGCTCTCCTTGTTTCACAGGTAATGAACTTCTCCTTTGAGCTTCTGCATTTGAAACAATAGCAGCTGATGAGTAATCACAGCATATCTAAGTGATGAGAAATTTTGAGCTGTAGTAGCCATTATTTCTAGCAGGAAATAATTTTTCAGGACTTGATCTGGAGAAGAGGATTTCACTTATACCCTCACCAAGTTTGTAGCTATTCATTTGCAATGGATGCTACACAAGGATTACTAGTATCTTAGAGGTAGTAGGCTGAATTTTAGCTGTATAAACAATAAAAACTTATTAGAGAGATCTGTTTCCCAACTTTGAAAGAATATACCAGAAAACACATACACTTTTTGAAAGCACATCAACATACATAACCAGTAGGCTTCTGTATACATTTTTATGAGGGTGGTCTAACCTCACCCAAGTGGCAGGGCATGATAAGTGCTTTGCAAGCAGGCACAGTATCTCAATTACATGAACAAAAATTTCTGAAAAAACCACTATGTCACACTGTAGCTTAATGACCACATCACATCTAAGCTGACGTTATTCCTGTCTTTGGAGGGTCAATGTTCTGTTTGCAGGGGATGCTGCACAAGCTCTTTGAAGGGCCCAACAAGTGCTACTGCCTGCACGAGGGCAGGAAGGGGAAGAGAAGGGATAAAACCGTATGGCTGTAAGCCACAGGGGACAGGACTGCAATAGCAGGATCAAAGCACTGACTTAGATCAGCTTAAACTGCCATGGAACTGCACTGTCAGCTGCCTGCTATCACATCATTATATTCTCAATAACTGTGGTCCATTTTTAGGTACCAGGTTCTGCTACAGACTAGCTAGTCTAGCTGAATAGTATGTTTTAAGGAAATTGCAGAAAAATGAAAATAATGAGTTAAAAATGAAAACTTTTGTTACTACACTTCAGGTAGCAATCACACTTTTTTATGCATACAGGAGCAATGAAGAAGCTTCCTAGAGTTCTGTTAATATTTCAAATATAGTTTGCAAAACAATAAGTGTGATCCACCTACGAGTCACTGAGAAAGACGAAGCCCATCTAGTGAGCACCTGAGACTGGATCCCATTGGCATTTACAGCAGGGTAGTTTTCTTGTCCTGGGAGAGTCTGTACCCTTACAGCTCCTCCTGCGCTGGTGATCACCCCCCTGAGATACAAAAAGAGTTGTTAGAAATCAGACATTTTAATCGCAAGAAAATGCAATACAATTACACCATTATTAGTACATTGGTACTGAAAAAGATGCCATATAGGCAGGCAGTTGTGTTCAGGTTAAAAACAAGCTATAAATTGCTGAAAAGACTTTTAAAAAATACTATTCTGCAGAGCAACAACACAGACTTGGGTAAAAAAGTCAGAAAATTATAAAATTCTGGCAGCTTGCAGACTAATGCAGAAACATGACGTTTCAAGGAGACATCAATTCCTAAAGGAAAGAGCTCCAGCAAAATGTATTTGGGCTCATTATGCCTCCTGAATATTTGTGACTGAAACAAGATTCTGTATGCTTAGCTATGAAATGACCAACGCTAAGAAAACTGGAAAGCAAAACTGCTGCTTATAGTAGTAATGGATATGTGGGATACCTTGTTATGCAACTACAGACTGGAGTCAGAAATGGTAGGCATTATTGATAGCAGCCAGCAGATTGCTGATCATTATAAGAACAGGGCCTAAAGCATCTTATTCTTCCTATTCACCTGTAGTAAACATTAAATGTGAAATCTGAAACGACTTAAATAAATACAAGTTACTAACTCAATCCATGTAAGATTCTGCATTGCTTTCCGTTTAGACTTGGAAATAGTATATTAACAGTAGATGCAATCCAACTGTGTAATTCTCACTGACAGAGATGTCGAGTAACATACCAAATTGGAATTTGGAATATTTAGGTAGTAGCTAACAAGTCATAGCTATCGTCATTTAAGCACACTGCAATGCATCCTTAATACACAGTTATAATGGATTATTAACAAAATAATAATTCAGAACAAATATGAAGAAGCTTACTGATTAAAATATCTCATAAAGTCATACTCAGTATTACAAGACTCTTACACTCCTTAATGCCTTACTAGAAGGGTCAGTTCTGAAATGTAGAAGTGACAAGAAAACTTGTAGCAAATTGCCTGCCAGATCTGTCCTGCCATCCGAGACAAATGAAGGAATAGCTAGTTTGAAAATCTTGCTGATCCTTATGGACTGAGGATTGTGTCCCAGCAGGACAATAAATTTCTGCATTTAGGAAACTTCAGGGTTAAAAGCAGCCCAAGGAGAACTTCACTCGTTTTCCAGGCAGAGAGGCTGTTGTGATTGTTTGGATTTGGATACCTCAAGTGACAATAACAGGCAGCAAAACTGTTCAGATCTCTTTTTATGTGCTACTGAAAGAACAGTTATTATTTTTAGAATCCAAAATTCAATGCTGAGCTTCTCTAAGAGGGAGTAAAAGCTTGGGGCTTTGTAGTACTTGGGCAGGTACACTGCTGTCAGAGACAAACAAGCATTTCAAGACTATTTAAACACAGCAATGTGTGCCTTTGTGTTTATTTTTCTTATCTGTTTGTCTTCCCTCTTCAAAAGAGGTCCTGACCAAGTCTAATTTAAAACATTGCAAAAGTAGAATAATCAAGACCAGAGTTTAGAAAACCTTGCGTATCTTTCTGGTAATATGAGCTCTGGGTATCTGTGGCAAAGGCAGCTTCCACAAAAATCTCCTTGTGGACTGCTGTTAAAATACATTCCTCATTCATGGACATGATTTGCATTTCTAAATTGAACTGTGGCCCTATATATATTTAATTCTTGTACCTTGGAAGATTATGATAGTATAAAAATATACAGATATTTTCTTACCTAGGAATACTGTATACAGTACATATACAGAGGAGCTTTAGTAAAGTTACCCTGAATAAGTTTAAAACCAGATTATAAAGTTGGCAAATACAAACAGCACTTCAAAGTCCTTTAAAAACAGTGAGAGAAAAACTAGACCAGAGCCTCTAACTGGTTATTTTTAAATGACAGGAAAATTCAGTAAGACAAAATTAACTTTGGGAAAAAAAACACATTAAGGTATTTAGAACATTCCAGTCCAATTAGAATACACTTTTCTTCTAGTTCTCATTGTTATTCAAGCCTTCACTAGTGTCTCAGTCTCAATGGATAAGGAAATATCTGTCAGAAACAGAATATACGTGTTTAATTGTAACAGCTTCTAGTTTAAGTTTATACTTGCAGTTTTAGTGAAGCTACTTTGGGGTTGCATCAGCAAACCCCATCTATGCCCAAGTTAACTTCCAAGGAGAGTTTAGGATCTCTTCCCCCTTCCTTTGTTGTGTACTTGCAACTTCGAGCACTGGCTGAATTAAACTCAGGAACACATTCACACTGAAAGCTCAGCCTAAGAATTATTCCTGGAAGCAATGATTTCAGATCATTTTAGTCACAGCATGACCAATTTTGTTTATATTGTTCCATTTTGTCTATTAGTCTTTTTATTTGGATTGCCATGTAATCATTCTGGGGGAAAAAAAATCTTGTTAGTCTCCATTGGATTTGGAAGCTTTCCACTGAAACTAGAGTAGATGTATTTGCTCCTTATCAATTTATTGAACACTAAACATTTGATTCTGTATTTC